TTGGTCAGTCATGGGGCCTGAACTCTGGGTCTGGGCGCTGTCCCTCAGCTCTTCAGCTCAAGGCTGGTGCTCTACTATTTGAGCCACAGTGCCACTTCTGGTTTTTTCTGCTTAACCCAGGGCCTCATGCATGAGGCAAGCACTCTATCACTGAGCCACCTTCCCAGCCCTGAGCTGTATTCTTTATATTCAATATTTTTCCAAGTGGTGAGCCTGGACTTCAACATGTTCAGATCTCTGAACAATACCAAGTAACTGAGTTCCTTCTAGGTGATACCCTATCTATAAACACTGAGAAACTCAATATGCTATTTTGCAGTGAAAATACACAAAAACATAACACGGAAGGCTACCCACAGAATTAATGGGAGTGGCTGCCTACTGGGAGGAAACAACATGGACTTCCAGCTTATCTGTAATGTTTTCTTTGTTGATTAAAATACATTGTACAGCTGGGTGTGGTGGTGCATCCCTGAATCCAAGCCCTTGGGCCTGGCACTGGTGGTTCACGCCTGTACTTCTAGCTACTCAGGAAGCTGAGATCTGAGGATCCTGGTTCAAAGCCAGCCCAGGTAGGAAAGTCCGTGAAACTCTTTATCTCCAATAAACCCCCAGAAAACCGGAAGTGGTGCTGTAGCTCAAGTGGTAGAGTACTAGCCTTGAGCTGAAGAGCTGAAGGACAGCACTCAGGCCCAGAGTTCAAGCCCCACAACTGACCAAAAACTCCCCAAAACCAAAAACAACAACAAAAACACCAAGCCCTTGGAAGATGGAGGCTGGATTGTGAATTGGAGACCATGCCTCAAAAAGCAAAACAAAACAAAACAAAACAAAAAATGACAGAGCAGGGTGCCAGTGGTGGCTCATGCTTATAATCCTAGCTAATCAGGAGGCTGAGAGCTGAGGATCGCAGTTTGAAGGTACATAAACCAGGCTCTGGGTTCAATCCCTAGCACTGCAAAAACAAGGCAAACATGAACTAGAAATACAAAAATTAACCTTCCAAATGATTATTATTGTGTGATAATGTTCTGTTTAGTTTTTCTGTTTTGTGCCAGTCCTGAGGCTTGAACTCAGAGCCCAGGTGCTTGAGTCACATGAACCACAACTTCACTTTTGGCGTTTTGTGTGTGATTAATCGGGGATAAGAGACTCACAGGTGGCTCAGTGGTAGAGTGCTTGCCTTGCATGCATGAGGCCCTGAGTTCGATTCCTCAGCACCACATAAGTAGAAAAAGCTGGAAGTGGTGCTGTGGCTCAAGTGGCAGAGTGCTAGCCTTGAGCTGAAGAGCTGAGGGACAGTGCCCAGGTCCATGACTGACCAAAAAAAATAAAATAAAATAAAATTAAAATAAATAAATAAAAACACAAAAAAACAAAAAAGAGTGCAAGTTCCTGAGTTCAAGTCTCAATACCAGCCCCCCAAAAGAGTATGAATAAGGAAACAAAGCAAACCCAAACTTCCAGACAATGAGTAGTCAGAAAGATGACATACAGATTTGAGGAAGGCTAGAACTAGAAAATCCATGACAAACTCCATGACAAATGTACCTTCCCAATCAAGAAAGGGTCTGAGACACTGGCACACATCACTTTAAGAAGGATAACTTCAGTGAGTTG